AACCATGGTATTTTCAATAACCTCATATGCATGTGAAAACTGGACAGTGAATAAGGAAGACCGTAGAAGAATTGATGCTTTTGAGTTATGGTGTTGAAGGAGAATATTGAAAGTGCCATGGGCTGCCAAAAGAACCAGTAGATCTGTTTTGGAAGAAGTGAAGCCAGAGTGCTCCTTGGAGGTCGGGATGACCAAACTTCATCTCTCATACTTCAGACATATTGTCAGGAGGTACCAGTCACTGAAGAAGGATATCATGTTTGGTAAGGGTCAGAGAAAAAGAGGAAGACCCTCAGTGAGATGGATTGGCAAAGTGGCAGCATTAATGGGCTCAAGCGTGGCAACAATTGTGAGGTTGGCCCAGAATCGGGCAATGTTTTATTCTGTGGTGCATAGGTCGTTATGAGTCAGTACTGACTTGATGGCACCTAACAACAACAACAACAACAACAACAACAACAAGAACATTCACACCTTGAATCTCTGTTCTTGAGATCTTTAGCTCTGGCAGAGAAAACCCAGTTAGCCAAACTCAGGTCACATCCTCAACCTTTGATGGTCTTGGATCTATGAGAGAATATCAAATGAAAGTTCAGGTGACATTCAGCCAGGATACATTTTGGGTTACTAAAATAGAGAGATACTACCTAATTGGTAAATAACTGAAGCCCTCGGGGGCCCCAGGGACCACTTACCCATCCATCCACAGGATTATGGCCTGGCTCATCCTCTTTGGTTGTGTCTTAGTTATCTCATGCCATGATAACTGAAAGTTCACAGGAATTTTAACAAACAGAAATTTATTCTTCGACAGTTGTCAAGTGTCATCTAGTGGGTTCCGACTCATAGTGACCCTGTATAGGGTTTCCAAGGAGAGGCTGGTGAGCTTGAACCGCTGATCTTGCGGTTCAAACTGACCTTGCAGTCCAGCACATTAACTTGCAGCGCCACACCAGGACTCCTCTCAGAGTTTGTTGTTGTTGTTGTTGTTGTTAGGTGCCATCGAGTCAGAACCGACTCATAGCGACCCTAAGCACAGCACAACGAAACAATGTCTGATCCTGGCCCAACCTCACTACCGCTGCCACACGAGTCCATCAATGCTGCCACTTAGCCAATCCATCTCGTTGGGGGTCTTCCTCTTTTTCTCTGACCCTCCATCTTACTAAGCATGATATATATCCTTCTCCAGTGACTGTTCCCTCCTGACAATATGTCCAAAGTATGAGAGACGAAGTTTAGCCATCTTGGCCTCTAAGGAACACTCTGGCTGCACTTCTTCCAACACAGATCTGTTGGTTCTTTTGACAGCCCATGGCACTTTCAATATTCTCCTTCAACACCACAATTCAAAGGCATCAATTCTTCTACAGTCTTCCTTATTCACTGTCCAGGTTTCACATGCATATGATGTTACTGAAAACACCATGGCTTGGGTCAGGTGCACCTTAGTTCTCAAGCTGACATCTTTGCTCTTCAACACTTTCAAAAGGTCTTGTGAAGCAGATTTGCCTAATGCAATACATTGTCTGATCTCTTGACTGCTGCTTCCATGAGTGTTGATAGTTGATCCAAGAAGAATGAAGTCCTTGATAACTTCAATCTTTTCTCCGTTGATAAGAATGTTGTTTATTGGTCCAGTGGTGAGGATTTTTGTTTTTTTTGACAGTTTAGGAGGCTGGAAGTGCAAACTC